GAGGATCAGTCAGATTCTAAATAGACAGGCAACACAAAAGTGCATAGATATAGTAACAAGAACAGTGTAAAATACATTCTATGACCAAGTATAGAGAGTTCGATATAGAAAAGTACAAGAATTGAAAAAAGAAGTTAATATAACAAACAAGATGAAAAAAGGTACTCAAATTAAAAGAAGACCAGAAAAAAGAGCAAAAAAGAATAAGGCAGCAAAGGAAGAAGAAAAGAAAAAGAAAGCAGAAAAATAAACTGAATAAAGGAAGAAGTTTTGAAGACAATTGATATGCTTGTCACAGAAAGGGGAAGACCTTTCTGGTATAGCTTTAAGTAGTTAGACAAGCAGTCTATCTCTAACTAAAATAGTGTAACAGGTTGCACTTAGTTACCAATAGGGTAGCTGAATAATGCTAGACTTGAGTATTGAGAAATTCTATGTAATTATAAATGTATATAGTTTTAAGAATCTTAATAAAGTACTAGCATAACTGCTTAAGGTTAAAAAAATAAAAATTGGCAAAAATAACTAGAAGTCAAAGATGTGCTAAAAAATATTCAAAAAAAGAGCAAGATAAAAAAGAAGGAACAGATAGAATAAACAGAATTAAGAATGTAATAGAAAAGACAATTATTACAGTAGCTAGTAAACTATATCTAAGAAAAAGATACATAACACAATAGCAAACAAAAAAAGCAGTCAAAAAGAACAACATCAAGAGAAGAACATTGTAAAGTTACAAAGATTAATTAAATATATAAAAAAAGAAAAAGGCCAAAAAGTAATAGAAAAAGAAAAAAGTAAAATGCAAAAAAAACTACAAGTACAAGATAGGAAAAAAGGTGCAAAGCTACCAAAACTTTATAAACAATGATCAAGTGCCTGGATTGAAGACATAAAAGGTTGACAGAAATTGTTATAGAAAAAAATATATATATAAACAAAGACAAAGAAGATAAATAGAAGAAAACATAGATAAAAGATATGAAATAATTAAAACAGACCAAGAAAAAATGATAGCTAGTCATTTAAACAAATCTTATAAAAAGATAATGCTTAACAGATTTAATTAAATTTTTTTCTTACAACTTTCTGTCCTAAAAACAATACAAATTTATTCATATTTAACTTTTCGATATAACAACTTTTACATTTTAATAAAATTATCTTTATTTATATTCTTTTTAAATTTCTTTAATTTATACTTAATTAAAATCTTTTACTTCCAAATAAACTAAGTATACTAAACTTTCTGCTTCTAACTATACTAATTTTACTAAATTCTAATTATTATATTACATACCAACTAACATTTTCTAAAAAAACACACTTTCTCAATTTTCATCAAATTTTACTAAACAATCTTATTTGCTCTTATTAAACAAAATATTTAGCTCATTGAGATAATCATTTCAATATAAATTTCATCTTTAACAGACTAAAACTCATTAAGTTATTGATATTTCTTTTTAAACTTTTATCCAAACTCCTTTCTAAAATTCTATTAATCAATTTTGAAAATTTATAGGACTGCTCCAGAAATTTCACTTTTTACTAATCTTGAAAATATCCAAATATTCAATATTTCTTTAAAGATAGAGTATACGATTTTCAAATTATATATAAAACATTTGGTAAATTTTTATTTAATTAAAAATAGAAAAATATTTTCTTAAGTAAACAGCTTTTAGATATTAATTAAAAATTGTAGAATATGTTTTTCTGATTCTAATGATAGTAAATTCATTAAAATTGGTTAAAAATTGATTAAGATACATATGTTTAAAAATTAGGTATCATAAATTGTTTATATAAATCATATGAAGATCATATGATTTGGACCAATCATGATTAACATTTTCGTGTAACTATGTAAAATTTGAAGCCACTATGGAGAACTTTGTAATATATACAAATATATTTTTTAAAATATTTTATCAATAAAAATTTTACTATTATAAAAAACATATTTTATTCTATATTATATAAAAATTTGATAAAAATTAATTGCAATAGTAAAAAGTTTTATTAGTACCAAAGTTTTATTTTTTATAAAAATTATATTATATTACAAAGATCATATAAAAAATGATCTATGTATACTCTACTCTTAAATTCTCTTAAAGAAATCTTAAAATTTACTGGCTCTCTAAAAAATTCATTACTAATTTAAAAAACTTAATTTTCTCACTCAATTCTTATTCACTCTTTTTTGCTATCTATATTATAAAACACTTTATCCATATTATAAACTACTTAAAAAACCTTTTCTATATCTCTGTTCCAAGCTATTTACAACTTTAAATATCTTTCTATTATTATTACTTATAATTTCAAAATAAATCTACAAACTACAACCCAATAAGATTATCTTTTAGAATAGTTCAAAAGCTATTCTATCTCAGAAAACTCTTCTTTATCTATACTTATGACATCTGAAATTCAAACTTTAGATTTCTTAAAACTAATCCTTTAAGACTTCTATTCCAGTTCAATTATTAATTTTATAACAATTAACAAACTAGCTATAAAAAGTAACTTTAGCTTATTAATTTAATTATAGCAACTAAAAAACCTAAATTTATTATAAACACAATCTTAAACAAAAATTCACATATTACTAAAGTTTCAAAATACTTTTTAAAATTCTTTTTAGTATAACAAAAAACTGGCTTACCAAATTTACTTATACTCTCTTTTATAAAACAAATTACAAACAACTCTTTAACTTATATTATTTTATCTCTTCTTACTTAATTAAAAAATAATTTCAAATTGCTAAAAACCTTGCCAAACTTTATTTATTCCTATATAACAAATACCAAATCATTGATTATCAAAAATTCTTTCATGACTTACAACCTAAACTCATTTATTTAAAAACCTTTATATATATAAACTATATTTAAACATTTTAAAAAGCAATACTCCTATTTTACAAATTTATAATACTTTTAAATTCTATATTAATATTACTATAAACATCTTCCTTCAAGAATTTAATATAAACTACTATATTTCATCTTTTCACTTAATCAAACCACAATTTGATATCTGACTTTATAAATTTTTTACATATTACAAAAAACAATTTAGTAACATTAATAAATAAAAAGTCTACAATTATATCAAATACCAAATAATAACAGTAACTAATAATAAATACAAAAAGCTAATTTTTCAAAAACCTGAACTACCAACTATCTAATCTATTCAAGACCAAACAAACTATGCTACTAAAACAGCAATACACTATATATACATCTGTACTAATCTGGAAAATGTAAATTTCTTAATCCAAAAATAACGCATAATATCTACAATTTAACTTCTTACTACTTTAAACAATCCTTTAACACTATACCTATTCAACAATATATATATTCACATTTAAATCTTTCTACTTTTATCTCAGCAACATTCTATACACCCTTACCTTTTAAAGAACTTTATAAGCTAGCTGACTAATCTGAACAAACCTTTATCCAACTAAACAATATATCTACTAATCCTAAATATATATCTTATTTCTTTTACTGCTATCTTAAAGCTTACTTCAAATCTGCAGCAACAAACAATGAAATTATTAATTTCAATCTTAAAGAAGCATTAAACAAAATCTTCTCTCAAACAAGCAATCTACAAATTCTAGCCAGAATCATTGCCTATTATGACATAACTCAAATCTCTAAACTAACTATTGCTCAATTTAAAAAAAACATTAACAAGTCATACTTTGATTAAGCAAACCAATACATTATCAAAAAACTCAATATTATTATACCTACAGTATCAGAAACTGACTTTATTTACATTTTAAATGTATCTAAAATTATTGATAAACTCAATGATAGTTTTTTTTTCTAAAATATCTATATATTTCTGTTAACTTTTCTTTATCTATTTACTTATTCAATTTATATTATTTATCTAAGTTACACCTTTACAATTCTGTTAACTTTCTTTATCTATTTGCTTATTCAATCAATACTATTTTTTATCTTTTTAACTATACTTTATTTTCTATTTAATTATTATATCTTATAATTAACTTTTAATAGTGTAAATAGTTAGTAAAATCTATGAGTAGCTTACTAGTATATACTAGAGTAATGAATATTATTTAGAAAATTTCAACTAATTTAGATGAGTTTTAGCTACTCTAGTAGGGTTAAGCTTTAGATAAATATGTCTGAGCTCTTATTCTTGTATGTAGCATTTATATTACTTAGAGTTATAGTTTTATAGTTAGCAGTTTAATGATTAGCTCTAATCACAAGTATTAGTTTTAGCTATAGCATATATAGAACTTCTTTTTGTATTCAGTAATTCTATGTAGTTACTATCTAATAACTATGAATAAAGATAAGAGTAAGGCTTTACCTTAATACTAAAAAAAAAAGAAAAAAAGTACAAACAAACCTAAAAGAAAAAGGTGATCCTCAATGATAGATGATAGATAATATATATATTTTTTAATATTAACAGTAAGGCCATATCTTTAACTTTATTGAAATTTAATTGAAGTTTTTACAAAGAAAAGCTTGCTTTTTTAAATTACATATGAAGAATAAAGGCTCAGACATATAATCTGTGATCTAAACCTACAAGAGTGGCCAAGGCTCATTTAGATTTGGGTGTTAGTAATAATATATGAGAGAGAAGTATAATATTTAATTCATTGGATAATGATAGATAATATTAAATCATATAATATTACAGATAACATATTATTATTACTAGTAAATACAATCTTAGAACAATTACTACAATACCTAAACTAAAGAAAAAACTTAGCTGGCATATTAAGATAACTACTACTACTATGTAAGGCAAACTTCATAAATTCATAAACAATGAGAAAAATCACAACAGCCTAATGCTATATAAGAATTTATAACAATTTGGTAATAGCAGTTTTAGACTTAAGTGCAACTATAAACATTATATTCAGTAAATTATAATATAAATTAGGATTAGAAATTAATGATAATTCAATAACTATGATAATAATTACAACTGGTGCATGTGCAAAAACTCTGGGTAGAGTAAAGGATGCTAAAATAACAATTCAAAACATAATGGTACCAATATTTTTACAAATAATAGAATCTTCAGAAGAAACCCTATTTAGAACTAACTAGTTTTAAAAAATTAACATCTGACTATATTTTGACAGTTAAAAGTTGCATATATCAAGTGATAAAAAATTAGTAGAAATTCTAATCTTCAATACAAGTATTGAAATACTTATATCAAGTTATAAAAAACAGAAATATGATAGTGACAGAAGTAATATATTTGATGAGTTAGAATAACCTAGAGGAAATAAATGAGTATCTTATGAATAAATAATCAGAACTAGATGGTTAGCAATTAGGTCAAGAAAAAAAAAATAAAAAAAATCTAATACTATTTCTTACTAATATAAAAGAACTCTTTTAAGGAATAAGAAAGAAAGTTGGTAATAGAAAGAATTCAAGCATTTATAAATATTGACTTGATAATTCTAGCCAACAATGTTAAACAAAAAAATTTCTGATAAAGAAAAAGGTATTGTTTACTAAAAACATAAATAATTTAGAAAAAACAAGTATAATTATATATGCTATAAATATAAAAAACACAACAGCAATAAACAAAACCATACAAGATATTACATAATAAAAATAAGTTTATAAAGCTGAAATTAATAAATTAAAAAGAGGAAATTTGATAAGAAAGTTGTATAGCCCTTGGGTTTTACTAGTAGTAATTGTACTAAAAAAAAACAGCAAGCTACAATTTTGTATAGATTATGATAAGTTAAATATAGTAACAAAAAAAGATTCATATTCTTTACCTTATAGAATAGACCTTTTCAATATATTCAGAAATGCAGTATGGATTTCTATTCTAGATTTAATAAGTAGATACTAGCAAGTAAGAGAAATAAAAAGAATAAAAAAAAACTATATTTATTACTAAATATAGTTTTTACAAATTTAACATAATGCTATTCAGTCTTTGTAATATACCAGGAACATTCCAAAGGCTAATAACTATTATATTATGAAAATATCTAAAAAAATTCATAATTATTTATTTAGATAATATAAATATATACTTCTGAATATTTGAAAACCACTTAGAACATCTTTACTTGTTTTTAACAAATTACAGAAAGCAAAACTGAAGCTAAACATTAACAAGTATAATTTGTTTAAATCAAGCATACACTACTTAAGACATATTATTAACAAAGAAGAGATAAGAACAGATAAATCTAAAGTAGAAAAAGTAAAGAATTTCTCAGTATTAAGAAATCTTTGTCAATTATAAAAGTTTTTAGAACTAGTTTCATACTATTAATGTTTTTCAAAATTTTGCAAAAATAGCATGCTTACTACATAAACTATTAGAGAAAAATACAGTTTATAAATAGACTAATAAAAAATAAAAGATCTTTGAAATCTTAAAAAGACATTTAATGATGGCCCTAATTTTAAGATACTTAGAATTTAAAGAAATTTTTTATCTACATCCTAACATTTTCAGTATCAAGTTAGGAGCAATGTTAGTACAAAAGGATAAAAATTATAATAAGTAAATAGTAGCATATATAAGTAAAAGACTAAAAAGATCTAAAAGAAATTATTCAGCTTTAGAACTTAAGTGTTTAGCAGTGATCTGATCTGTAAAACATTTTCATTATTACTTATACAGGTTGAATAAATAAATAAAGAGTAAATAATAAGTAAATAACAGAAAAAAAATCTGCCATTATTCTACCCTATATCCACCAAATAATGGCAGCATAATAGCAGCATAACAGCAGAATTATAGTAAAATAACAGGAGGTTTGTTAATATGAGTAATAGAATAGTTCTATTATTTTATTTTTAGTCTTTGTAACTAAAAGTAAAATAATAGAACTGTTCTATTATTTTGCTATAATGTTACTATTATATTACTCATATTGACAAACCTCCTGTTATTTTACTATTATTTTGCTGTTATGCTACTGTTATACTGCCATTATTTGGCAGATATATAGTAGAATAATGGCAGATTTTTTTTCTGTTATTTACTTATTATTCACCCTTTATTTATTTATTCGACTTGTATTAGAAGCCAAACACTTTGTTTTAATTACAAATAATGCTGCTTTTAAGTAGTTAAATATATCTAAATTAAAAAAAAAAGAGTACAATGAATTCTAAGACTACAACTCTATAACTATATAATAGTATATAGACCTGGTTATAACCACTTTAATATAGATGCTCTATCTATATACTATTATTAAAAAGACAAAAAAAATAAAAAATAAAAAAACAAATTACAAAAACACAATTCAGAATAGGTAGTCAATGCACTGGCAAATCCAAAGCAATAAAGCCACTAAGATACTAACAATTAAAGACCTTTATAACTAAATATATATTAGTAATAATTTTATCTTTACAACAATGCCATAGTTTACAGTTTCAAAGTAAATTCTTTATAATAGTAATAAGGCTTATTTATAAAAAAAATAAACATAAAAATAACAGCCTACTATGGATAATTCAAAGACATAAAGTTAAACTGTTTTTATTTCTGATATATTTATATCTACTTAAGATCATTTTGGAAAAGAAATTACATTCAATAAAATCTATGATAAGTATTATTGGCCTCAGATATATATAGATATAAAAAACTATATTTATATCTGTAATGCTTGTTAAAGAAGAAAGAAAAACTTAGCAAAACCTTTGTTACATCCAATATCTGTTAAAGCTTCATTCTTTAAAATAAGAATTAATATTATGAGACCCTTACCACAGACCCTATAAGAAAATAAGTATATAGTTATAGCAACAAACTATATGACTAAATGGTCTAAAGCTAAGTTAATAGAAGCAACTAATATAAATAAAGTAGCAGACTTTATATACAAAGATATAGTATGCCAGCATAGATACCTTCAATATTTAGGAGAACTCATTTTAGAAACAACCTAATAAATAAATTCCTAAAAAGATTAAGATCAAACATTATTATTCAATATTCTACTATCTACAAATAAATAGTCTAGTTAAAAGATTTAACAAAACCTTTTGTAAATCTATAGCCAAGCTTGTAACTAATGTTCAGAATTTGAACTTATTAATCTTATTACTTCTTTTTGCATATCAAATAGCTAAACAAATTATTATAAAGATAACTCTATTCTATCTAGTTTATAGAAAAGAGGTATACTTTTTAATACATTCTAATAAGTCAAAAAATTTATTAGAGAGTACTTTTCTGCAATAACTTTTTGATTTAATTAAGATAATATCTAATGAAAGACTGTAGCAGTTATATGAATAGAAAGAGCTTAACAGAAAGTTAAGAAAAGATATAATTAGCAGGCTTAAAAATTAAGGACTTAATGAGAAAAAAGCTTATTTTGGTCTTTAAGGCTTCTCAAGAAAACTAAAAAAGCTATAAACTTAGCTCTAAGTAAAAAAAAACATTCATTATTTATAAGATTTAAACAAAAGGTGTATTTAAACTTCATACTCTTAATAGAAATATAATAAAAACATTCATAAATTAAAAATTACTGAAAAGGTACTATATTTAAGAAACCAATACAAAAAATTAGACTATGTTAACAAATATGTAAAATTATATTTTAGATATAATACACCTAAAATAAGCATGAAAAAATATTATGAAGAAAATTAATTATTCTGAAAATAAGATTAGAGCTAGCCAGAAATAGCCCAATTCTAGCAATATTAAATTTTTAGAACATGAGTAGTATAAATAAGAAAATTACTTTAAATAGATATACTTACATGTATATCAATCTAATTCTGGCTATTAGATTTAAGCTTAAGTATGATGCAAAAGTAGTAATAAGAAAATAATTATAAGTTTTATTAGATAAAATAATAAGAAAAAGAGATTATATTAGAAAGAGATTAAAGATTCTCTTAGTTAATAAAATTTCTTAGCCTCAATACATTAATTACTATAAAAAAAGAACTTTCTTTAGTAAAAAGAAAGAGAACCTAGTTTTTAGAATTACTGTATTGTAATTACTGTCTCTAGTAAGTTGTAAAATAATAATTAATAAAACTTCATACAAAATATAATTAGACATATAATACAGAAGTATAAGTTCAATGTACTAAACTTAACTTAGCATAGCTCAACATTTTATCAAGATAGTTGACAAACCTAACATACTGCAGTCTAGTCCAAAATTCAACATACCATGATTTGAGTAAAGTATTGACCTAAAAGCATTATAGTTAAGGTCAGTTATAATGCACAAGAAATCTATAAGTTAATAAAATTAGTAATCAAATTACCAACATTATGCTCCTGATGAGAAGCATAATAAAATAAAGAGTATATTAGCCAAAGTTATAATAAAAGTACTAATTATCAAATTGTTATTTATTTAGTACAAAATAGTCTGTAGCAACAAATATAACTTTATACTTAATATTGTATAAACTATATAAAATTATTTACATTTATATTCTTTAATATTTTTAAGAATATTTAACTTTATTTACATCTTTCTTTTATTTTCTATCTACCCTTCTGTATTTGAAATACTGTTTCTAATTACAAATGTAATTAATTGCACTTTGTACTTTTTGTGTATTTTTTATATGTTTAGGTCATGATATTGAAATTAGAAACCTGAAATTGCCTATTTTTGATGCTTAGCCCAGACTGAATTTAGGGTTAAAATTTTTTTGCTGGCCCAGTTTAGCCTAGCCCACAAAATTTAATATAAAATTTTGCAACCTTTTTGGCTAGACATGCATTTTTAAAATTTAAAAAATTTTTTGGCTTAGCTTAGCTCACAATTATAAAAATTTGCTTTAGGCCTGGGCTGTAAAACCTAATACAAACCTTTAATTAGAATTATTATTTTAATAAATAAGACTTTATTATAAAAAGATAATCAGCAAAGATCAGCTAATTACAATAAAGCCTACTATACTATTATCATATAGCTATTTATTTTCATATTTGTAGTAATTAATAAAAAATATAATATACTAGTTTGATAGATAGTGCAAAGTGCCACTTATTTTATTTAATATTTTTTTATATTGTAGTGTATTGTTATAAATATATTGTTAAAATGAATTAAAAAAATAAGTAGTTATGCAATGTAGTTGTGCAAATCAGAAGTAAAAGAAATTTATATAAACATTATTTCAGTTATAGAAAACATATTCTTTATTGCAATCTATTTTTGGTATAAGAAAATAACTCTTTTTAAGAGAAGTTAATAGTACTTGTAATTTGAATATAGGTTTGAATTTTCTTAAATGAT